GGGACCTTAAGTCTAGACCTATAGTTTTAAAACTTTTTACTTAGTCCAAACAACATTATACTAGAACTTAAAAGCACAACTATTCTGATTGAAGCATGGACGGTCCTGGAGGCCCTGCCACTCTCTACATCACTTACCTTCATAGTGGACTCTGAGGAAACCCCTAGGACTCTAGGGCATAATTTCAAAAACATAGCACTAGTCCAGCCCCCAGCTAATGATGGAATCTTTTCTACGACATCCCTACTAAATGTTCAGGTAGCCTATGCTTGAATTTCTCCAGAGCCTGGAAAGTCACTGTTCTGAAGCAGCCTGGAAGTCAGGAAAAGTGTCTTATTCAATTTTGTAATCATCCTGTGCCTAGCACTTGGATTTGTAATAAGTGCATCCTAAGTATTAATTGAGTGAATGGATGAATAGAGGTATAAAAGAGTTTTTTGGTTGCTTCACTTCCAGCAATTGTGTAAGTCATAATTGCTTTAATCTTTCAAGCATTAACATTATGTCCTTTAATCTCACTTCTCTTGTTTTCTCTGTCTCAATTTATTCTAAATTATGAATACAGTACTTATATAAAGAGATTTACTATTCTGATTAGGCTCCATGATCATATTTTTTTTACACATGGAAAATTCAATGAATTTTCAACCAATTCAGTCAAAGAAGAAAACTTTTTTCTAAAACCTAAATCTCAGTCTTGTTTTATAACAAATGTGGCTGGGGTGTTTGTAGCAATCTTTAAAATATTTAAATCTATTTCACATGTAACACAAAGGGAACAATGATTATAATGTAAACATTAAACCTGTTGCTATTTCTACCATAGCATGACTGAGCTTACACTTCAATAACTCTCTGAAGACAGCTGGGGCATATTTAGAGCGTATGCAAACATTTGTATGGAAATTCCAGAGCTATATAGAAGTGGTAGTTTGTTGTGTGAACATGTCTAATTCAGTGCACTCAAAGAGTAGTAGGATCTTAAAATCATCATACATTTTAGAGAAAGTTGTGTGTGTATATATATATATACAGTATATATATATACATATATATATATGTGTGTGTGTGTGTGTGTGTGTGTGTATATATATATATATATACATTTTTTTTTTCTTGTTGCCCAGGCTGTAGTGCAATGACACCATCTCAGCTCACCACAACCTCCGCCTCCTGGGTTCAAGCAATTCTCCTGCCTCAGCCTCCTGAGTAGCTGGGATTACAGGCATGCACCACCACACCTGACTAATTTTATATTTTTAGTAGAGACAGTTTCTCCATGTTGGTCAGGCTGGTCTTGAACTCCCGACCTCAGGTGATCCTCCCGCCTCAGCCTCCCAAAGTCTTGGGATTACAGGTGTGAGCCACCTCGCCCAGCCAAAAGTTGTATGTTTTTATCATTTGTCCCTAAAAGCAGCCCTGCAAAGTAAAGAAAAATAGTATTTATTTGGATTAATAAGTTGCCTTTTGATAGTAATTCTAGGACCACTTTTTGTTGTTGTTGTTAGGACCACTTTTATTTCTAGCAAGCATAAAGCAATTGTAGGTTTTTCGTTTGTTTGTTTTGTTTTTTGAGACAGAGTCTTGCTCTATTACCCAGGCTGGGATGCATTGGCACAATCTCAGCTCACTGCAACCTCCACCTCCTGAGTTCAAGGTATTCTGCCTCAGCCTCCTAAGTAGCTGGGATTACAAGCGTATGCCACCATGCCTGGCTAATTTTTGTATCTTTAGTAGAGACAAGGTTTTACCATGTTAGCCAGGCTGGTCTCCAACTCCAAGTGATCTGCCTGCTTCAGCCTCCCAACGTGCTGGTATTACAGATGTGAGCCACTGTGCTGGGCCCGGGTTTTTTTGTTTGTTTTTGAGGCAGAGTCTTGTCTACAGGCTGGAGTGCAGAGGGATGATCAAGGCTACTGCAGCCTCAAACTTCTAGGCTCAAGTGATCCTCTCACCTCAGCCTCCCAAATATCTGGGACCACAGACACATGCCACTACAGCCGGGTAATTAAAAAAAAATTTTTGTGGAGATAAGGTCTCATCATGTTGCCCAGACTAATCTGGAACTACTAGGCTCGAGCAATCCTCCCTCCATGGCCTCCCAAAGAGCTGAGAATACAAGCATGAGCCACCATGCCCGGCCAGTAGTTTTATATCATATTTAGCCTTCACATAAAACAAATTCGTTCATGAGTGCTTTCTGCTCAGTTGTTTTTATTTCTTCTTGAAATGTGTCCATTTTTTTCTTCATAATTATGTAGGATGATTTGGACACTGAAACTAAAATGGAAGAGCAGGAAAAAGTCACTGGATCATCTGAACTTGGAGGTAAGAAGTTAATGAAAATGTAGATTAACTCACTTCCAATTCAATTTTATACCTACTTAACTTTTTTTTTTTTTTTTTTTTTTTTTTTTTTTTTTTTTTTAACAGAACCAAGTTTAGTTTGTGAGGAAGATGAAATTATGAGGTCTAAAGAAAGTTCAGATCTTTCCATTTCTCATTCTCAGGTATAAACTTGATGGTTCCATTCTCACTTTTCTTTTGTTCAAAAGACAGTTGCTTATATGCTATTTTTTTATTTTTCAGATTTTGTTATTCCAGGTCTTTTAGAATAAAATTCAACATTTAGAATGCTTATTATTAACTAAACTGGCAATTATATGTTGATGAATTTCGAGGATATTACTGGTGGATTTTTTTAGTAATAAACCTAAATACTGTTGGTAGAATCTGAAAATTACTGGATAGAATCTTAGGCAGTTATTTATTCCACCCTGCTTCGTATTTACAAATGGGATATATAATACCTTTTTGTTGCCTTGAGCATAACATGTTTTATTTTGCTTTTCAAATACAGTAAAATTCTGAAATAATAGATTTAGGTAATATGAACTTGGAAATAATATGATTAATGATTGATTCTCTACTTTCCTCTGCCCAGCCTATTTCTCAAATGAGTAGACTAAACTTCTTGTCTTCTGGAAGGGTAATGCCTGGTGATCATTTGGGACTTTCTCAGTTCAGTGATTGGCCAACTGTGTAAAGTGTCAGTTTCACCTATCTTTACTTTTGTGCTTTTCGTGACAGTATGAACCAACTCAAAATTATTGGTTTTAATTTAACAAGAACCTAAATTTTATGTGATTAAATTTTTGGACCCCATTTATTGTGTTATGAAAAGGTTTTATTATATTAAGTTATATATATATTTTTTATATTAAGTTATATTTTGTGTAATTATTTTCTTTTTTAGGTTGAGCAGTTAGTCAATAAAACATCTGAACTTGATATGTCTGAAGGCAGAACAAGAAGTGGAAAAGTCTTTCAGAATAAAATGGTAAATACCTCTTTAGGTTTGTTTTCCATTCTAACCTTGTAATTCTCCTCCATATGTGAGTTTATTGTAATATTTCATTTATTAGACCAATATTTACTAAGTACCTATTATGTATCAGGTACTTTACTAGGTGCTTGGGATATAACCTGAATAACATATACTTTTTGATCTTAGCTAAAATTCAGTGACTAGAAATAAACAAACAACGATATAGGGCCACTATAGAAGTCTGAATAGACTACATAGGCAGGCACTAAGAAAGGAATGGTTAATTTTACTGAAGGTATATTAAAGGGAGGGATCCAGAAAAGGCTTTGGGAAGAAGTGATACTCTCATCCAGACTCCCAGAGAAATTTCCTGTAATGCCAGAATGTTCCCATGCTCGATCTCTTTTTTTTCTTTTTAAAGTAAATTTCATTTAAGTTCCAAGATACATGTGCAGGATGTACAGGTTTGTTACATAGATAAATGTGTGCCATAGTGGTTTGCCACACCTATCAACCCACTACCCAGGTAGTAAGCCCCACGTGTATTAGTGGTTTATCCTAATGCTCTCCCTTCCCCCGCCCTCCTGACCCAGTGTGTATTGTTCTCTTCTTTGTGTCCATGTGTTCACATTGTTCAGCTCCCACTTATAAGCAAGAACATGTGGTGTTTGGTTTTCTATTCCTGTGTTAGTTTGCTGAGGATAATGGCTTCCAGCTCCATCCGTGGGTCTTCAAAGGACATGATCTCATTCCTTTTTATGGCTAAACATTTTCTTTATCCAGTCTATCATTGATGGGCATGTGTGTTGATCCTATGTCTTTGCTATTGTGAATAGTGCTGCAATGAACATATGCATGCATGTATCTTTTTTTTCTTTTTTTTTGAGACAGAGTTTTGCTCTTGTTGCCCAGGCTGGAGTGCAATGGAGCAATCTCCCCTCACTGCAACTTTTGCTTCCCGGATTCAAGTGATTCTCCTGTCTCAGCCTCCTGAGTAGTTGGGATTACAGGTGGCCACCACTACACTCAGCTAATTTTTGATATTTTTAGTAGAGATGGGGTTTCATCATGTTGGCCAGGCTGGTCTCGAACTCCTGACTTCAGGTGAACCACCCTCCTTGGCCTCCCAAAGTGCTGGGATTACAAGCCACCATGCCCAGCCAGCATGCATGTATCTTTATAATAGAATGATTATATTCCTTTGGGTATATACCTAGTAATGGGATTGCTGGGTCAAATGGTATCTCTGGTTCTAGGTCTTTGAGGAATCACCACACTGTTTTTCACAATGGTTAAACTAATTTGCATTCCCACAATGTGTAAAAGTGTTCCTATTTCTCCACAGCCTCACCACTATCTGTTGTTTCTTGACTTTTTAATCACCATTCTGATTGGCATGAGATGGTATCTCATTGTGGTTTTGATTTGCATTTTTCTGATAATCAGTGATGTTGAGCATTTTTCATGTTTATTGGCCACATAAATGTTTTCATGTTTATTGGCCACACTTCTTTTGAGAAGTGTCTGTTCATGTCCTTTGCCCACTTTTTAATGGAGTTTGTTTTTTCTTGTAAATTTTTTAAGTTCCTTGTAGATTCTAGATATTAGACTTTTGTGAGATGGATAGATTGCAAAAATGTTCTCCCATTCTGTAGGTTGTCTGTTCACTCTGAAAAATATGGAATGCTTCACGAATTTGCATGTCATCCTTATGCAGGGGCCATGCTAATCTTCTCTATATCGTTCTAATTTTAGTATATTTGCTGCCAAAGTGAGCACCATGCTCAATCTTATAAATTGAGTATGTTGTTAATAAGATATTACAAATTAATCTTTTGCATACCTATATCGTTCTAATATTTGCTGCCAAAGTAAGCACCATGCTCGATCTTATAAACTGAGTATCTTGCTAATAAGATATTACTAATTAATCTTTTGCATATATCTTGTATAAAACGAATCTCATGTTCTTAAGGGAAAAAAATCACTTTTATTTTAGCTTTTGGTATGAATTATACTAAATCAAAATTCATATTTGATTTTAGACTTTAAGTTACTCTCAAAGTTTCATCAGGGGTGAAGAAAAAGCATTCTGTAAAATACATAAAATATCCAAAGTTTAGGAAAGAAATAGCTCACTCTGTTAGTGGTGTGCCAACTCCTCACTCAGAGATATCATGTTGGTAGCTTTAATTGGACATATTGGTAGTATTCACAGCACGGAAATCAGCAAATGCTTCAGGGGTTGTTTCTCTCATAGAGCTGGTTATTAAACATTTATCAGAACACTACTCATTATAGTGCCATTTTTAGGTGTCTTCCCCCACCCCTATTCTCAATGGGAAGTTAGAACTGGCAGAAGGCAGCATTCAAATGAGTATATTCATGAAAGCAAGAGATAAAGGAATGTCAAGATTTACTACTTACAGAAGCAAAGTATTCATCCTAGCCAGTTTCTATTTGGATGAATAACCTTTACTAGGATATAGGGATAGAGACCAGAATTTAAAAATTATTAAGCAAGATTTCCTTGTAATGTAACATTAAAATGCTTTGAGGACATAAATTTATTTCATGAACTCTGAGCCAGTGTACTCCTGATTTTGAGAATTATTACTGAATTGTGGTTAGAAAAGGGCAAGCAATGAAAATATTCACTATTATATATACTAAGGAATTATCATTCGAAAGAAAATTTCAAACATCAGAAAAGAAGTATGTCCTTTTAGAGAATAGTTTATATGACACCTAATCATTTGTAATTTCCAATATTCATTTTAATAACTGTATATACAGCATTATTCACAGTAGCCAAAAAATGGGAAAAACCTAAATATACATCAACAGATGAATGGATTAATAATGTGGTGTATTCATACAATTGAATATCGGCCATAAAAAAGAATGGAGTGCCAATACATGCTACAACTTGGATGAACCTTGGAAACATGCTAATTAAAGGAAGTTACTCACAAAAGTTCACATATTATATTATTCCATTCATTTGAAATTCAGAACTGGGAAAGTTATTGAGAGAGTCTGAAGGCTCATGGGAGAATATCAGAATAAGAGAGTGATAGGTAAGGGAAATGAGGTTTCTTTTTAGGGTGATGAAAGTGATCTAAAATTGATTGTGGTGATGTTTACACAACTCTGAGAATGTACTGAAAATCATCGAATTGTATACTTATAAATGGGTGAATCATATAGTATCTAAATTATATCTCAATAAAGCTGTTTTTTTAAAAAAAAAATTGTATATCCAGCTGGGCACTGTGGCTCACTCCTATAATCCCAGCACTTTGGCAGGCTGAGGCAGGAGGATCGCTTGAAACCAGAAGTTTCAGGCTGCAGTGAGCCATGATTGTGCCACTGCATTCCAGCCTGGGTGACAGAGGGAGATCCTGTCTCTAAAAAGTAAATAAATAAATAAATATTGCATATTGCTCCATAAGATTGAAAAATCCAAGTATTGGCTGTTCTTTGAGAAATAACCAATTAGTAATTATTCTATCTTTGTGGAGGCAAATGGAAATCCACCAGTAAAATCTTCCAAAGAAAATCGGAAGAGAAGTCAACATGAATCTGGGAGAATAGTAAGTCTTATGATAATGTATAGTTTGAATACAATGGCAAGTATCAGAATATCATTACTATAGATTAAATTCAAAATGAATTTTATATCCCTCGATTTACCAGAGAGCTCTGATATTCAAATTTTGTTTAAATATGTTTTGTTCTAAAAATCGAGGTGATTTTGAAATAAGATGCACTATGTTGGTTTACTAGTTTTTTCCATGTAAACATCTCCTGTCTCATTCCATGAATGATTTAAAGTAATTGGAGGAAGTGTAATATAAATTAAAAATCAGTGTCAGGAAAAATATAAGTAGAATAAGAAAGTGACAGAACAAGAATATTAAGGCCATTTTGTTTCCATAGAACTGAAATTGGGCCACAAATTTGATCTCAGCTTTCTAGAGACCAAAACTAAAGTAGAAGGAGGATAAGTTACTAAATCCATGTGTTCTCTAAAAATATATGTTCTCCTTCTAGTACTTCTGGAGAAAGAAAATTTTTCCTGACCTAAACCGTATAGTTGTTTCATTATTTAGAACCTTATTTTACCAAATCAAATAATGTATTTGCCATTTCTGAGTTATTCATATTTTTCTAACTATATATTTTAGTATTATTAGTAGGTTAAAATTAGACAACTGAAAACTTAAGACCATTTTTAAAAATCAAATGTTAACATCCCAAGAGTACAAAAGCAAGATATAAATTAAAACTTACATGATTTCAAGTTAGAATGTTTTTCTATTTGTAGTTCATTTTTAAACCTTTTTTTCCCTTCTTATTCCTCTGAAATATTTGGCTATTTTGAGGACATAATGTTAAATCTATCCCTTGCTACTACAGCAATCCTATTGAAGATCATACATTTTGCAAGTACATACTTCAGAAGCCACTGGAAGATGTTAATAATAAATTTTACTCTAATTTTTTTTTGGGGGGGGACAGAGTTTCTCTCTTGTCACCCAGGCTGGAGTGTAGTGGTGCGATATTGGCTCATGGCAACCTTGACCTCCCGAGTTGAGGTTGCCATGAGATTCTCCTGCCTCAGCCTCCCGAGTAGCTGGGATTACAGGCATGCGCCACCACACCTGACTAATTTTGTATTTTTTTTAGTAGAGACTAGGTCTCTCCATGTTAGTCAGGCTGGTCTTGAACTCCCAACCTCAGGTGATCCACCTGCCTCGGCCTCCCAAAGTGCTGGGATTACAGGTGTGAGCCACTGTACCCTGCCAATTTTACCCTACTTTTAAGAAACCCAGATATCCTATCATAGTAGGAGATAGTAATGCCAGGTATGCTAGGCATAATTTTTTTAAAAAAGGAAAGAAATCTCAGATACATGAAAAAATCTAAAAGACATTTAAACAGGAAAGTATCTATTCTTAATAATTGTTTTCTTTTGACAGGTCCTCCATCACTTTGATTCTAGTCAAGAGTCAGTACCAAAAAGGAGGAAGTTTAGTGAACCAAAGGAACATATATAAAAATTGTTTTTCTTCCGCATGTTTGCAAAGTTCTTCTCAACATTTAAACTGAAGGATACTATATTATATTTCCCTAACTCTGAAAATATATATGTAGTTTAAAGCAGTTTGTACACTAAAATTAAGTTCTTGACTATCGTATTGTGGTCCTTAATCTTGAGATAAATCCAACAGAATTTTTGAATAAAAGAAAAAGTACAAATGTTGTAATTGATTCTGTAATAAGTACAATTTAAAAATTGATTTTGTTCATTATCTACTTAATATTTTCTTTAAATATATACTGACTGTTAAGGCCCTCTAATCATTTTTCTAAACAAGTAATGTTTACTTTGGTATTAAAATTTGGTATGGATTCACTTTTTACTTATGTTAAAATTATACCATTTAACTGACTCTTTTGTTATTAAAACTATGTTCTTCAATATTTTGATATAATGTATGAACATTATAATATATAATGCACAATTTAAAATTGGTGCTTTACCTTTTTTAAACCTTTTTTTTACAGGACAAAAAGATGACTGATTTTTAAAGTATGGCATTTTTGGTAGCATAAATACTGTTTAGTATGTAGGCCCTTTCATCGCTTCTAATTTTTATTTAATTAGCAGGAAATATGACTCCATTAATTTGAAAGGCTGGTAGGAGGATAGGGGGATAGGGAATACTAATTTTTAGATGATTTCGATAGCTATTACTTTGCAAGAAGAGTTGAGCACACTTTCTAGAATTTTTGAGTGGTAATATGAAAAATGCTGTGCTTTTTTTTTTTTAATTGTACTTTAGGTTTTGGGGTACATGTGAAGAACATGCAAGATTGTTGCATAGGTACACATGTGGCAGTGTGATTTTCTGCCTTCCTCCCCCTCACCTATATCTGGCATTTCTCCCCATGCTATCTCTCCCCAACTCCCCACCCCCATTGTCCCTCCCCTATTTCCCCCCAACAGACCCCAGTGTGTAGTGCTCCCCTCCCTGTGTCCATGTGTTCTCATTGTTCAACACCCGCCTGTGAGTGAGAACAGGCAGTGTTTGATTTTCTGCTCTTGTGCCAGTTTGCTGAGAATGATGGTTTCCAGGTTCATCCATGTCCCTACAAAGGACATGAACTTATCGTTTTTAATGGCTGCATAATATTCCATGGTATATATGTACCACATTTTCCCTGTCCAGTCTGTCATCGATGGGCATTTGGGTTGGTTCCAGGTCTTTGCTATTGTAAACTGTGCTGCAATGAACATTCGTGTGCATGTGTCCTTATAGTAGAACGATTTATAATACCCAGTAACGGGAGAAAAATGCTGTGTTTTTAATGAGAAGCCTGGTAGCTAGTTCCAGACTTGCCTGCTTTCTTTGCTTTCGAAAAGGAAGACTTGCCGGGCGCGGTGGCTCAAGCCTGTAATCCCAGCACTTTGGGAGGCTGAAGCGGGTGGATCACGAGGTCAAGAGATCGAGACCATCCTGGTCAACATGGTGAAACCCCGTCTCTACTAAAAATACAAAAAATTAGCTGGGCATGGTGGCGCGTGCCTGTAATCCCAGCTACTCAGGAGGCTGAGGCAGGAGAATTGCCTGAACCCAGGAGGCGGAGGCTGCGGTGAGCCGAGATCGTGCCATTGCACTCCAGCCTGGGTAACAAGAGCGAAACTCCGTCTCAAAAAAAAAAAAAAAAAAAAAAGAAAAGGAAGACTTAAAACCTGGTCTGTTTGGGCG